CTACTGACTCTAGTGGAGTCTGAACAGTTTAGGTTTCTACTATTGACTCTAGTGGAGTCTGAACAGTTTAGGTTTCTACTACTGACTCTAGTGGAGTCTGAACAGTTTAGGTTTCTACTACTGACTCTAGTGGAGTCTAAACAGTTTAGGTTTCTACTACTGACTCTAGTGGAGTCTGAACAGTATATCACCACTTTTGTCAGTAGTATACACCGAAACTGTTCCTAGTTTTATTATTCTACAACAATACAGTAATTTATTGTCAAGTACAAGAAAGTTTTATTATTCTACAACAATACAGTAATTTATTGTCAAGTACAAGAAAGTTTTATTATTCTACAACAATAGAGTAACTTATTGTCAAGTACAAGAAAGTTTTATTATTCTAAAAACAATATAGTAATTTATTGTCAAGTACAAGAAAGTTTTATTATTCTACAACAATACAGTAATTTATTGTCAAGTACAAGAAAGTTTTATTATTCTACAACAATACAGTAACTTATTGTCAAGTACAAAAATGTTTTATTGTAAAATATTTGAGGAAAAAAAAGATGTTTGGAAAATAAAGAAGTTAACCTAACCAGTAGATACAAACAAGTTTCATTGTAGTTAAGCTAATGTAAAATGTCATTTAACTTAGACTGTATATTATGAAATAGAATTCCTTACCAGAGAAAGAAAGTAATTAATTCATGTCTACAACCATGCAGGCTGAGAAATTGATTTCAATTCTCAAAGTTGAATCAGACAAACACTAAATGTACCTTACATGATCTACTAAACTAACTTGAGTGTGTTTGTCCTCCCTCTCGGCTTTTACATTTGGACCTGTCAAATATGGTTTAATCAACTGTCAGTGGGCGTGGCCACTAGAGATACTGATATACATGGGGTGTGTATATATATTCATACAGTATATGTTCTTTTAAATCATTACTGGCATACTTAAGAGAGATTCTACTATAAAATGAGAGTAGTTTCATAAGTCTCTCTCTCTGTGCATCACATGGGAATATCTGCTAGTAAATGACATACAAATCTGGTTTTCTCTAGAATTTCATGGAATGCATAGTGCTTGGCTTAAATATAACACATGAAGAAAAATACTTATGATGCCAAAACACAATGATGCCAAAACCGGAAAGTACTACAATATTAACCACAATTTAATTATACTAACTTTATATCTAAATCTCATGGTAGAAAACTAATCAGCCACGAGCTCTTAGTGAAGCAATCATCATTACAAGCTACAAGCCCAATTGGTAACAAAGTGTATAATGGTGAAGATTAGGGGTATGACGTTCTGTTGATTTGCACTATGCATTATCTCCCCCCCCCCCAGATAATGTCTTTTTTTAGTTATCATTTTCAATGCAGTCAGACACTCAAGTAAATTACTCAATTTTCCCTTTCGCTAGTAGGTATAGAACATGAATTCACTAACTAGCCATTACTATACAGGTGTTATTCTTGGTGTTAAATCAGGTGACAGCTAGGGGCTGCCACACTCTCTGGGTCTGACATGGTTTGAACACACAAGGCACCTGCAGAACATAGGGCCATGTGCAAGCTTGGTTTTGCTCAATTATAGTTTTCTTGCATTGAAAATCAGGATTTTCCAAGTAAGCACACTAAATTAGAATTTTTAGAAACTTAACAACTTTCTTAGGATTGTTTAATTGTGCCTTTTGTTTGATTTTAATACTTTTAGTGATCTGGCTTTAGTGTATTTCAAGTCATAGTAAACCATACCTTTTGAGGAGGTTAAGGCTTGTAGGTTAAACATTTGGATTGTTGAATTTTATCTTAGTCTCCTTTTAGCTTAACCTGTTGGGGTTATTTTTCTTTATCATAATTTGATTTCAGTGTAACTTATAAGGGAGAGCACATTGAACTTTGAAAACTATTAGTTGCTTTGCATATCTCCACCTAGTTCAACATATCCACTGGACACGCTTGTGTTTAATGGAGATAACTAGTTCAACATATCCACCGGACACGCTTGTGTTTAATGG